GAGCTATACTGGTGGCTTTGGAAAGCGAACCCAAGCCTAAAGGACAACCACCGTGATTTCTTCTATCAAATTTGAGGCATTAAAGTGATGAGAGAAGGACATTTGCTGCAGACGGGAGAATTTGCAACGATCCCTAACAGAGAGGTTTGAAAATGGTATCTACCTTCGGCAACTACTGCAGTGCCGTGTTCTACAGAAGTGCTATTAACAACCGAAGCGACACCAGCTGTAGCCATAAACCATCTGGAAAAGTTCCTTACGGAGCTGTCTACAGTAGCTGTATCAAGATGTCACTGAGGTGAACACGCGATGCCTCCTCCACCTCTACTAGCTGAAGAGAACCCAGATGGACAGATGGACGTGAAACCTTACCACCCACTAAACTATTTGAAATCCAGTCTCTTAAAAAATGGCACTGCTTTTAGTCTAGCAATAGACGTGATATGGCCAGCACATTCCTCCTTTCCTCGATCCAGTTTCCAAACAGGACGAAATTCCATTTCCGGTAGATTTACTACGCAGAATCAGTGACGGTGCAGTCACGTGCCATCTTAGTTGCACGCGGGTTCGATGACTGGCGCGGTTAGTTCGTGGGTATTTCATTTTGAAGTGCCGACTACGTTGTGATGGCCGAAGCGGAGGTTGACCAAGGGGATCTCCAAACACGATGCTGTGTTTGTATCTGTGTAATACCTTTATTGTCTGCTTAACTCGATTTTGATAATAGCCTTTTAAGGCTCCGCGATTTTACTTCCTCTGGGCGGCGTGACCTCCTGACTAGACCACTAGCGCCCAAGCCCTTCTGCACGTCGGACCTAGTATCAAGTATCAAGCCTTCTTTCGTCTTCATATACGTCTCGTTGCGCTACAGTGCTGATCACCCTAAATGAGTCGCGGGCTTTAAGGTATTTTAAAACATGAAGAGAGGGAAAAATAACTTTTCACTTGATGTCTTCTGCAATAGTCATGCTTAACTTAAAAATACGACTTGTCTGTTTGTTTGCTAACTACAAATAGGCAAATGGAGGAGGACATTTTTGCGTTCTTCCGAAGTCACACGATTAAATTCTCTCGAAGGTGGATTAATTCACGCAGAATTAGTCCATCCATCCAAATCAAAGTAATAGGGAGCGCACTTTTATCGCGCATTCCTAAACAGGCCACACCATGTCCACCTCCACCGCCAAGTTGTTGCATAGCTCGCTGGCATTGTGATACACATTCCGCTCAAAAAAAGCAAATCAAAAAATCTTGGTGTATAAAGTGTGAAAAAAAGGTGGTGATCACGTCAGTCAGTTGCTTTATTGAGGTGACCAACACCTTCGGGTTTGTTGCGACCGTGAATGAGAAACACGCGGGACAGGTCCTGGTTGCACCACAACGCACCACAAATGATTTGGTGTTTTGATTCGACCATCCACAAGTTCACTCTTAAAGCAAAAATAAGTAGAAACACTTTGCATTTCCATATAAGCCCCACAAATTCTCTTCTCAAGTTGCGCAGTTGGTGGTTATTGCTTCAAGACGCCTACAGTGAAATTACACGAACTGGAGAGGCGGCTATAAAGACAGCACCTGTTATGCCATTACAATAACAACCACAAAGGCGGTAAACGAAGGCTCTCACATTCGAATGCTTGTTCCACTTCGTCAAGGAAAGCCATTTGGATCCCTTGGGGGTTCGACTCTTCCCCAAGTAGCGTAACAAGATCGTCGACTCCTATTTGTGGATATTTCCCTAGGGGATAAGGAACTGATTGGCCTCATTTAAGTGATTAAATGAAAACATTACAATGTTACAGTCCCAATTAAAAGACTGCTCAGTTGTTTCACAACTTTACAGCCTCTAGCAATTCAAAATAGCAGCATCTCAAAAAAAAATTACTAAGATCAAAAACGTCCTAGTGAATCGAATCTTCTTAACCGAGGGTTAAATTGTGCCTACTATGGCTGTCCTTACAACTTGTAATTACGTTTATGGTTTCCCTTGCTAGCACAAAACAGGAAGCTTTAGTTAAAAGCTTTTATTTTCCCCCGTCTCTGCGAGCATTTATTCCTAGCGTAGACAGACATTGCAGTCATTGTGTAGATTACAGCATCAACTCCTGTGCGTCGGCGTCCATTTTCATTTCCACTATTTTAATAGGTTGATTCTTTAAATAAAAAAGACCTCAAACCCAAAAATAAATGTACAGCACCTCAAATCTTCCTTGAAAATTGAAAAAAAAGACATAATACTCGGGCAGAGTATGCATTGCCAACGCAGGGAAGGCCTGAGGGCTGCTGTCATGGCCCAGGGGTACGATTGCAGACCCTGAATGCCTGCAACACCAAAAGGGAGAGGTAGACAAGTAACCAAAGTACTACATAGCGCCCTCTCCTCCTTTGCGCATCGCCTCCGGTGCTCACCTTGGCCAACCTCCTGCCTCGGCCATAAAAACGTATTCCGTGCTCTAAGGTGAATCACTCTCTAATCAACCGCGTAAATCATCGAATTTGAGTGCAGTAGCTGTGGAGATATCTGACTGCAACGCTACCAATCACTTTTGTCAATCCTACTGGATCTTCATTTTCGTCCTCTGTGGGAGATGGATTAGGAGAAGAGAAAATGTGCCCCCCATCTCGTACGTCCATCGCTAGTCTTAAAAATACTGGCCTAAATGTAGAGTTATTCAATTAAAGGAGGGGTTTAACATGGTTCAGTGGAGATAAGGTCTTGTATCTGGTTCTCATTGTCACTTTGTTCTCACTTCAGTGCTGACCAGCCGCATATCTATCCGGGTTCTGACAGAACTGGACCTAAGTTCTATCCGTTTAATTTAACTGATTAACTTAAATTCATTCTTGGTGTCTGTTCTCAACTGTAAAAAATTATTATGAGGAGAATAAAATGAAACATTTATCCTGCCAAATAATTGCCATTTACCGCAACAAGTATTCGGGATATGCATGACGACCTTAGATGAAAATTCCATCAAGAAGTAGAACTTTATAAATAGAATCGGGAGCGACCCACTGAAACATGCTACTTTTACACCTAATTCTTCAATTCTTCAAATAAAAAACAGTGGATACTTGATGTCTTTATAATCTTACTAAATACATCACGCGGATAAATAAAAATTGGTTCCAAAGGCACAAGGATGAGCCTTTCCCTCTTGACGGTGGGTAGAAAATCCGTAGCGCATGTCTCTACATTACGGCATGGGAAAACTCGAAGTGATCACAACCAACTTACTTGGATGACTTTAGTGCATTTCAGTAAATCCACCTTTTTGCGTTCCTTACTTCCGCTCAAATGAGCTTAGATGCTTGACATTTGGACAAAAAAGTAGCAACTGTGTATGTTGAACAAAACTGTGTTGTTAACTCTCAAAATCTGAAAAAAGACAACTCGAAATGATTGGATCTTTTGGTTGTAAATGTCATTGACGCAGCTCTAAATGCCACTTCTACAACTCCACCATCCAACGCCGCAAGTGGGAGGAGACTGTGCATTGAAAAATGCTTTTTAATAAAAGTAACAGCTTTTTTTATGAATTACGCGTCGTGATGTTTGGATTTTGCCATCAAAATTCCTATCTTGTAAATTAAAAGAAGAAGGGGCTAACTGACGCCTTACATTTTTAACAATGCTTCGATAACTGCCCGAATTAAAATTGCGTTTACTCTAATACTACTTACACCATTTCAGCCACCATTTATCAATACATTGAAATTCGACGGAAATTGACTGATTGTAACACAACTATAGGAAGGCAAGATCTTGGTAACGTCATTTATGCACGAATATTTTGCGATAAATATGTCTGCTTCTACTTAATCCACCTTAATCTCATAAGCATCCTCCGCCTCTGCCACACTTCTAGTCTTTAACATCGGCTCTCAAATTTTAAGGGCAAGGTAACAGAAAATCCCAGCCTTGTTGACTCAGTAGGCTACCCGGTGTACTTTTCACAAAACGCAGATATTTAGGGCATGTATCAGCTGAACATCTTTCAGTTCATGGACCCCTCGTAAAATATCCTCCACTTCTATGCACTCGCCAATTCACTGCAATTCTATGAGCATCTACAAATAGAATTAAGATGATCCAAGATTGATAAGTTTTTGATCATCATTCTTGATAAAGTAAGAAGCAAAAAATTAGCACAGACTGGTTTCCCATCCGCTTGTGATGGCACGATTTCCCAAATTGGTGAAAAATTTCGGCCAGCGCCAAGATACTACCCACGCAAACCCTGCCAGTGCTACACCAGGGAGAATTTTCAATCCCAGGATGGTAAACATGCCAACTATTGCTTTTAATTTATGCTCAACTTGAGGTGGATGCATTCGTACTCACTGCATTTCCATTTAGCTAAAGAGATGACCCCCAATCAAAGTGCTGGCTTTCAAAACTCGGCACAAGGGCAAATCGGCTATTATATTTATTTCAACGCATTACTTACCAAGGTTTTTTTGCAGAAAAAACCCGAGCGCAACAGCCTTGGCTCTCCAGGCTTTGAAGGTGACACCAACAACCACACTACCGAACTGACAAACTCGAGTGCTGCCCAAAAATTAAAAAAGAGTGGCTGCTTTCCTCAGATCACGAATAAGGTTTTATACGCGCTCGACTAACTCCAGGATAATTTGAACTCTACAATAATAAACCTTACTCTTTGAAGCGTTCCGCAGAGGTAGTGCCTGTGTGATACTTAAAACAGCTGTACTTTTGTGCTGAGAGGAATTAAGAGCTAAGTGGGATTAAAAGACAAGGAAACCCATTGAGATAAGTGTTTCACCGCCATAAAAAGGTCTGAAACGCACTGCCCAGTACATCTCAAAGCTAGGGCGGATACGACAAATAAATGCCAAAGGAGTGTGCAGGACCCGGATTAGCTACCGCGCAGGGAGACGACGACGTTAACAAGGTAGTGCCTTCAATAAAACTAATTGATGACCCCTTTTGACTCTAACTTTATACCTTTATTCTACTCTGTCAAGTTTAAGCGGTTATGCAAATTGGGTTTACAAATGAGGTGAGAAGCAGAAAGAAACTGGAGACAGCCTTGTCGTCCCTCATGTTAGCGTCCACCCTCATCCAACTGTCAAACTAATCCATTCTTTTTCTACACTTTAAGCAGAAATTATGCTTGATAAAGCTCCTACCTTATTATATCCGCCATTGGAGAGATATACACGCACACACACACACACACACACACACACACACACCGCCTCGTGGTCCAATCGGCGGGCCGCTGGGTGATAGAGCTTTCAAATCTAACTAAACAAGGATTACGTTTTAAATGTTCCATTAACATTCACCCAAAAGTATGAGGGGGCTCTTTAATGTCTCGCAATATGGTGCTTCGCACAGCTAATCAGGTCCTGAACATAAAGGTTTTAGTACGATACCAAGTTTATGGCTGTTACCATAAGATGATGACTTGGCTGCTTGCCTGGCTGGCAGGACGATTAAATGGGTTTATGCGCTAGCGGCAGGCAATCATGCTAACTCCGCTTACATCGGAATTACTTTTCTTTTTTCCCTGTCCACCAATTACGCTTCTACAGCAGCGATTTTCACCACTGTTCGCTTATGTCGGTTATCTACTCGTCTAAAATACTGCAGCATTTGATAATAAGTGGGACTAACCAGAGGTTTGTCTCTATCAAAAGTGGTTTTAAAGGCGCCAGCTTAAACACATTTGCCCCTAGAACCCAACTAGCGGTGGAGAGGGGCAATTAAAAAATGACGGAGAAAAAGGGAAGGGGGGAGTAGAGGCGGGGGGGGCGTATTAAGCCTCCAAATCGGTGCAGAAGGGGATGCACAATTGCATCAATGATTTTAGCCATGACAATCGCCTAATTACCTTCAAGAGAAATACTTTTGCTGTCCATCATGCTGCACTTAGTATGAGACAACACCTGGTTGCTTTAGCTCGCATTGGATGATGATTTTATTTCCATCGTAACTTACAAATGTGAAAGTATTAAAGCACCTCCAGAGGTGCCAAAAGAAATATTAAATTTAGAAATATCAATAAACACGATCAAGCGGCGTATAAAGGGGATTTTAAACCATAAAGCCATCCCCGTTTCACAAAAAGGATGTGGGTTCAGCTTTAGTCCGCTTCCTTTTCCAACTGAAAAGGTACTTTCTAATACGTCGCTTTTTTAAAGAACAATTCTTGGTAACTATTAATTACTGCAAACTACATATTTTTTTATACAGCAGGATCCCTATTCATGTGCCCTCTTCCTTGTGAGAAGAGATGATTTGGGGCTTAATACTGCAATCCTACACCACTTTTCGAAGGTGGAAGTGAACTTAATCGAACTGTGAAAAAGTGGACTTCACCAGCTCTTTAAATCACCGCAGACAAATTTCGTGCACAGGAGGTCAGAGAGAGTCAGCATTTCCTCTGCCATTCCCAAAAAACAAAACGGATGTGAGGAACCACCATAAGAAGGTGGGAAAGTTGTACAGACACGGTCTCACTAACCCCCACCACGCTTGTTAGTTTTGTATTTCGAGTGTATATGATCACTAGCTCCCATTCTTGTCCGCAAATGGCGAGACTCTTCGGTAACGGCGGCACTTTTCCTAGTTCTGCTCTCTTCCCATTCCCTCCTTTTTCCACCTCCTTTGTCCTTCCACCGCTCTTCTACCCTATCATCCAGCAAAAAGTTTTATCATTCCTTTTTGCATCATTTTGTTCTGTCCTGCTTATCCACCCTACTGCAGCTTCTTCCTTTTCCTCTTTATCGCATTAGATGAACCAGAAGCAGAAACAATCTCTGTTGCAGCATGAGGGAGAAGATCCCTCTCTCTTGGTCACTGTCTGCCCAAAATGGGTGATCATTCACTTTTATGAGTATAGTCTTCAAAAAGTTCGTACTGGACAGAGGACATATTTATTTCCTGCACTAAGGAAAATTCGTTTTGTGCCATAGCTTAAGAATAATAAGTCGAAGAAATGGAAACAAGACCTATAATCACCTCACAAGAGGAGTAGGAGACTACAAGTACAGGTGGCGCGAGTGGAGCCCCACGCAGTCCTTGTGGAGGTAGCGAAGAGTGCTCTTTTGGTGACGTTTGAAATTGAAATAAAAATCCGTCTGTCACACAGCTCTCTTTCGCTCTCGAGGGCCCTCCTCGGCTCTCTCGGCGATCACACTTCTGCTTCGAGCCTTACAATGGCATACAGATGCATTGAAAATGCGAGTCGAAGGCAAAACTCCTGCAACAAATTATCATCTCTACTTGAAAATTTAAGGTTTTGATAGAAAAATTCGCGCGATCCATCGTTCCTGTGAACTGCATTAAAGGGGCGACTTAAAACTAGGTGATAAACCTCTGTACAGCAACCTGAAGAACATCCGTCTAGAGGGAAAATCTTTTACAACCTAAAGTGTACAGTAGGTTTAATAATTATCTCCCTAATCCACTCCTCCTTTCCACTTGGATGCCGATTTAATGTTGCCAAGTCGCCTATCTGGAACATTCCTAACTTTATGGCACAAGAAGTTTCTCCATCCTCCAATCATGTTCATAATTCCCCGCTCTTAACTTGTTTAAACATGGCATCACGCCATTGCTGGGCATTATACGGAAACTGCTTTTTTGTTTCAGCAGACCTTCTGTTGTGAAACTCCGCATGTTCAGCTAATGCCTGTCGCCTTTCAACCGTTTAATGCGGCGTTCAGCCAAACGGATCTGGATTGTGGCTGTCGTAGCAGTCCAATCACTCCTGAGGCTGTCATGAAGTGCAAGCAAACAGCGATCAGAGGCAGGAAACATAAGTGGCGCGATCAGATTTCCATAGCACCACTGTAATTACCGAGTCGCGAGGGTGTGAAAAGGCAAATTTCGTTCTGCTTCAAGTCTCAAAATACTCGAGTCAAGTTTGAGTCAGTTTGGCCTAAAATTGTCACGCAAGTGCGTACGTAGCAGAAGTGAGTCATTGGTCTCCACTGGCCCCCCATCGTCGTTGTCGTCGTCGGCCCCCACTTCTGCTTCTCACTTTCCTAGTGAATTTGGACTGACCGCCGCAGCACGTTCGCACCCACGCATCAGGACGCGTGTGTGTGTGCGTGCATTTAAACAAGCAACATACGCATACACACGCATGAAATTCACCTGTCACCTTTCTAGGTCCATCTATCCATCCATCCATCCGTTCATTCAACCATTCACCCACCTTGTCGGTTAATGCGGCCACGTCGCTCCTCACTCTACGCCACCACCATCACAGAAAAGTAAAAACCAGATGAATTCGTCAGCTCTCCTCATCGCCCTTCCACCTTCTGGAGGCAGCCTCGCGGGTTTTGCTGTGTTGTATTCAAGCCACTGCCAAGCTCCGGAGTTACACCATTCGCAAATTCCGTCGAGTTACGAACAAGACAGCAAATCAGTCTATCAGTCAGTCAAGCAGTCAATTTGCGTGGCAATCCTAGTGTGATGTTGTGGGCCTTACTAGCCGAGATAAATAAGACTCTTGTCTCATTCGGCGAATAAAAAGCATTTAATTTAGAGCATTCTCAAACTGACCTAAAGGTGCGGTAAATTCTGACCCAACTAGGCCCTCTCTTGAGGAGTCAAATTACTTAGAGGCACCCTAAAATAAAATCCAGCCTGAAATGGTCCCATTTATTGACCGAGATTTTGTAAATCTCACTAGTAAGGATGAACAGAAATTGACCCTACCTATTTGTACGTTTTCGGGATGAAACGAAACCTCGGATGCATAAGCGTAGTAGAAAGTAGATTGATAGATGCCCTTGTTTTTAAAATGGATGACGCTGCGACCTCTGAGTTGTCTCTGAGGTGGTTATGAGGTATATGGGCCTGACAGTAGTAATGGAGAGGGGCTCGGGACCTAGCACCAGGGCCTCATGCCACGTTGTGGGATATTTTAAGGGCTCACAATCAAATATAAAGATAAAACGAATGTCACTCTCCTGCAGCATCGTTTATTGCTTCTTTAATGACCACATTTCCATAAACACACGCCAATTGCGATTTTACGCCAGATTTGTTACTAAAGGCGTCTCCTTCTTAATTGGCACACATTGACTTGCAGTAGACGATTGCTAAAGGGTGGATGGCTGCAACGCCTGTAAGTAGGAGAGGCACATCACTACTTGAAGCGATTTGGAGATTCCTGTCTTTAACTAGATGGTCTCTCCTTGATAACTTTGCATTTTACGCCTGCTTTGAGAGGGCCGGTACTTGTGGTTCACCAGTTAATAACCATTGCATTATTTGCCGCTTCATGACTTTCAGAGGGGACCTTGCACTTCCACACATCCACACCGGAGGTCGTCTCATAACGGGAGCTGTGTAGACATCCTATGTCTCGTAATTCAAACCAGTGGTGTTTATTTTTCTTTCCTAGATCATATATCTCTAGAGATATGATTATTTTACTAAACGCGGAATAATGATTAATTCAATGCTTAGCGACCTCAAAGCCGCCTGCGTGCATACAAACAAGGTCAACGAGCAACAAAAGGAATGGAGTAGCCAGGCGAAGGAGAACAGTGACTCACGGATACCGCTTTGGAGAATGGCGGGAATAGAAGTTAAAACACACAATTGCTTGAATAATCATGCCCCTCTTTGGCGCAGAAGGCTTGTACTGTTTTTAATGTTCGGATGAAAGCGTTGAGACACACGCACGCACTTACAGACAAGGAACAGCCAGAAAGGCGGAGAGCAGACGATAAAGTTCGGATCAAATGGAAAAAACCTTTATGTCGTCCGTAGCGCCTTGTACACCCAGAAGAAAAAAAGGAAGCCGAGAGGGAAGGAGGTGGGTAAATTACAGAACTTTGAGTATTTTCTCCCCCCGTCCACCGACACCACCCTCCCCCCACTCTTCCCCTTGCGCCTAGCCTTATCTTTTTCTGCAGGGAAAAAGGACTACTACTGCTGCTGCTACTGCTGCCACTACCACTAGTATGCTTTTTGTAGCTCAATTTACCTTCCCAGTGACCGTAAAGAATCTGCGGAGACTTAGAAGGCAACGGTTTCGCAGATGGTTTGCAACAACACCTGCAGTGCGCACAAGAATCCGATTTGGTAATGGTCGCTAAGGTGACATTTAATTGCCCTCTTCATAAACACACAAACACAGAGGGACTAATCTTGATTTCTTACGCGGCTGCGGAAGGAAATTTCGCAAAAAATTTTTATGGCTTTACAGAGGCAGTTCTGCAAGTCGTAAAATAAGCACACTATCTGCCATCTGTCTGCAGTTGCATTTTATGATCCTTTGACCTTTGCAGTTACCGAAGAGGGAGCAAGAGTGAGAGAGCGAGGAGACACGGATGATATGTTGTGTAGCTAATCTCGTGGACCTGTTTAACTTTCATCCCCACACATACGAGGTCACTAGGATGTGACCCCCCCTCCATGACTCATAACTACCGGCTACGGCTTCAAAGGTCACATGCCTTCGGCACTGCCCCAGCCAGCATCGCTGCGTGCTCCACTTTGGTGCAAATTTCGTAATGGCCATCAAATTTGGTTAATTGTCTTTTGAAGTGGCTCCTGCGATGCGAGACTTCAGCCTTTTTAAAATAAAACATCTAATGGAATGATCTACACGTACTTTAACCTCCGTTATTGACTTTGGTCAGTTTTTTTTGTTACAAAAATGTGCGAAGCGGCAACGCTATTGCAGACGGCACGAGGAAAAATCAACTGCTCATAGATTTATCCTCTATAGCGACCAACGTCGAGGATATGCGAATAACACGAGGCTGAAGATTTTGTAGATTGTATCGGAATGGAGGTAAGAAAGTGCTGCTCAAAGTTCAACTCTGTGCAAATCCCGGTGGTGACAACGGTGATGAGGAAGAGGCAGAAGAAGATGATGATTGAGGAGGAGGAGGCATTGATGTAGTGCACTCACCGCAGACATAGCACCAGTTCGAGTCATCGTTGGATCTCTACAGTGCAACTTACTCGAATGTCCCTGTCTTTCCACCTTTTGTCAATGATTCTGATTTCGTTTTTGGATTGGCATTATACAAAGCATATGAGTGCTCAATTACTGGAGATGTGAGTTTAAACAAATTGGCGGTTTTCTCACAGTTAGAGTTTCAAGTACTCACGAGACGAGACGGAGCATGTTGCACCGCGACTACCGCGAGTGAAGTGAACCGCGGTCGCCAGTCTTAAAGTCCCGGAAAAAGCAAACGCTTTCCAACGGTGAATTTTGTAGATGCTCAAATCTTGCAGGTTGTTGGTCACTGCGATGCTGGTACCGATTTAAACCTCATTGAAAGTCATTCATGATACCCGTATAGCGACATCTTACTGGTTGGACCAACACTGATTTCGGTTTTTAGTTGATATTTAACCTTCCTGAAGGCGTTGGCATTTTTTTATCACATGAGCTCAAATGCAAGTGATCGAATATTAAGCGAATTTTCAACGGGAAGCAAGTTTGATAAAGAACAACAATTCCACTTGATGGCTCAACCAGCTATACCGAGTTTTGGATAAGAGCCAAAATAATAATATAATAAAATGTTCATAGGAATGGTTATAAAGTTATAAACGATTATTGTTCATTAAACCTTCTTTAATGACTTGGCTGTGACCTACCGAGAGAGGGGAAGTAAACCAAGATGCAAAGGTTTAGCCTTCTTCAAAACCACTTTCTACGCATCAAAACCCGCATGCTGGTAATAAAAGGTGATTAAAATTTAACCAGTATACTCATTTAATTAACCAGCATGTGAAAACGGCTGCACACACCCGTGAGACTGTGCAACCACCCACCAGCACCACCGTTTGTTGACAGTGGATTCCAACATAGTCATTTATAAGTATGTGTATGTGTGTTTATTTACATAATGAACGTGCAGAAGGGTAACAAATCAAATCAAAGATTATTTGTGTCTGAAAGCTAAAAAACAAGTCACTTTTTTAGTGGATGGATTCAAGTGGTGGCCTCGAAATAAAAACACGCCCTCATGTAAGCGCTACTGATAGATATAAGTAAGCGCCTCAGCTAGTGTACCCATTAAATTGATGAATGTGACAGCAGGCCATCATCACGTATTTTAATTTCTGCATAATGAGGAAAAGCAAATTATCAAAATATAGGCTATTACGACTTCCTAGTGTGCAGACTATGCCATTTATGAATCCGTAAATGCTCTTATTTTAGCTAGAATTTTGAAGCAGGTATGTTAGATGATGACGACAACAACAATTATCTATTTTTTGTTAAACCTTTGGATATTTTACTTACTTTTACTCTTTGCACCCTAAATGGAAGGCGACTTATTTCAATCAGATTATTTATAGGGGGCGATACATTCTGCGTCATTTTGAATGGACGATGGGATAAAATTGCCAGAGGTCAAGGTCAGACATGTCATTTTAGAATTCATAAGTTTTGACGCATCATTCATCTGACCCATTTTTCACTTTTCGGGATCGAAATTTGCTATTGTAGGACTACAAAATTAGTCATACAAAATTAGACACCACTTAATTTGAACGAAGGTAAACAGTTCGGCGACTTGTCACCGTACTTTTTAAAAGAGTCAGACCTTTGGTTTAGTGGGCCTTTGCACGTGTATTGTTCACCATTTAGGCAAATGACGATCATTCATCGAGAAATTCACACATGAATTTGCTTAAAAACGTTCCTCTGGACAACAATGAGAAGTTTTGAGGCAGTGGGGAAGGTTCGGGAATAAATAGCGAAATCCTTCACTGAATTGGAGGACGTTATAGATCAAGTCCGGACTTCCGAACACATTCTAAGGAGTGAAAATTTCTTTCATTTTTCGGCACGCTTCCATCCTGCATTGCTGCACTCATCCTTCAGTGGCTAACTGCTTCGTCTTCGACAATCCCAATTCTCCGGTGCAACTAAAGCACCCTAGGTCACCTGGGATGTCCTGATTTTTCGTGAAGGATTGCCTTCGCTGTTGCCACAGAAATATCAGCCCTCCACGCAGTTTCAATGCAGGTGTTGCGTCGACTACTTAGGATTGGGCATCTCGCTCAATGAATTGTTCACGGCAATGAACTCTGGACTATGGAAGTGGGTTAAGAATCATTTTGCCCACAATCTCTAGAATCGTTACTGACGGAGGAACGATGCAAACAGTCTTTGGAACGTCTGCATCATTCAAATGTCTTACTGTCAAACAACCTGCGATATAACTACGACACCAAATAAAATTTCAAGTCTGTCGTGCATCACCGCGCGCTTTACCTCTGCTGCTGCCGTTGCTGGCTATCTTGAACAGTGTCTAGATTGAACAGGCCTACTTGGGACATGCACATTTGCTCACGGCACTGGAAGTAGGAAACACTCCGTGCTCACTACTGGTTGTGCAACATTCTACCTCTCTTAAGTCATAAGTACCGGTTTGACGTGAATACCATTCGTATGTTGAATGTTGAGAAAATTGACATGAAGGAGGAGCGAGGATTCACACCACCGCTAAACTCTTAGCCGATGACTTTTAGTGCCTCCGAAATCTTAATTGCCCACTTTCCCGTGTTTTTACTACAAGTTTACGGTATGGCTTCCAAACGATTCTCAAAGTGTTGGTACATTAGCATGAATTATTAACTAGTGGAGGCATTATGACACTGATCCCATCAATCATCGGTATCCTCCACGGCCTCGTTTCAGCCCGAGTGCCTTTCTGGGTCAAAGCTTTGATAAAGAAGAAGAATAAGAGGTTGAAGGTAAATATAAATGACAATTTTCGTCAATATTTGACGCTGTGGATTGAAAGGTAGAAAAGTCAAATTGGTTGATAAAATCCAAACTTAAGAAGTCGTTAGTAGCAGAAACCAGACCCTTGGGTTTGTAAATCCTCGAGACAAATTAGTTTTACCTAAAACCAAAGAAGTGGTTAGTTATGAACGTAGTTGCCCTAAATCAAGGCTGTAACATTTTGAGATCTGATGACAGGAGAACTGGGAGGCAGACGCCCTTCAGAAGGGAAAATTTCCCATTAATTTTTGGAGCTATAGAGCTATTCGTCTAAATTAAAACTTGCTGTTGAACAATCGCATCCCTTCCACACTCTACTGATCATACAGAAAATGTTGCCTCTTTTTTCTTCTTCACTCAAACTAGCAGAATGTTAATTTCCAGCAGCAATCAGTGGCTTCCGTTGCCACCCATTTCTTCGAATGCATAAAATTGGCGACCGCATTATCTTGAACGGCGGTGACTCATCGGGTCAAAGATAAAAATCCTTCTCCTTCCAGTTTATGGTTGTGACAGCGTACTCACTTTTGACACCACGAACAAGATTAAGTCAGGTGACATAACCAGTAAATAGGTTGATTACCACACAACTTCAAAACATGTTCATGGTTGTTTAACTTGTCGCTGTTGATAAACGGCTCTACACTCCTTACTTATGCTGCCATTGTTCTGGCTCCTTTGTACGTTAATAACAAAGCTAACACATGCTGTCCTGGAGTAGCTTGAGAGCCCCATCAGGGCTGCAGAACTCACTTCGAGATTGACGATTCAGATTTTGCAGAGAGGAGGCACCTACTGTTGATGGATGACTTGCCAAAGAAGAACCGCCGAAATTGTGCCGATGATTTATAAACATGGTGAAGTCAAGCTCCGAGTAACGCTTAGCAATGAGCAAAACCGGATTCAACCGATGTTGAAATGGCCAAAAAGGGACTTTTACAATACCCACAGGAAGATCGTGGTTGATGACCACAAGCTTGTCACCTAATGGCATCATATGCGTCCAAAAGTTGAGCACTACCCATGCAGGCGCAGCCCCAAAATGCTGTTTTAATTTAACGGATTGGCTTACATTCCAAGCCTGTAGGCAAGAAGTAAAAGCCCGGAGCGATTATTTAACTCTTCAGAAAGTAGATTAGCCATTCTCGGAATGAATTAGGTCGAATAAAGGAATAAATCATTTCCGGAAATCGTTCACATTTTCTGCAAAAACGTGAAAAAAAGCCGAAATTTTCTCGGGGCAGGATGGATGTTTACTTTTCCGTAGTAAAAGAAGGAAATTTGAGAATCTGCTAAAAATAACAACGACAGGTGTGCCGCCGTCAGTCGGAAACGAACAGTAAAAAGCAACAATTTCTCCCTCTCTTTCTCTCCGATTGTCACGATGCTGATTAATAGACTTTACGAAAAAGCTGCGTTTCTTAATCCCCCGATTAATCTGGCAAATGGGATATTAAAACGGATTTAGGGAAAGCGCTTATTTAAGCATCTCCTGGACGCCTATTCTAATGGCAATCATTGGGGGGCTGTCAAGGGTGCAATATACCATCTGCCATGACAATCTGGTTGATGCCTGATGCCCGGTGGATCCACCTTGTTTCCACTATTCATGTTAGCAGTCCGGAGTGTAGCAAAGTAGATTTTCTATCAACGCCTTAATGGGCTACTTTAATTCGTGATCCGAGCCGAATCAGTAGTCGTTAACTTAAGTTGGAGAAATCTGTAAACTTCACAAAACAAAGTGCAACTTGTGATAATTCGTAGCATGCTGTTTTTGTCTGGAATGTAACTAAAATGTAGAAATTATTTGGAGAAGACGGCCCTCAAAACTAATAAATGGAAAAGGACTTGTATGTTGTTTTGAATGCTCCCTGTCGAAAGTAGCACAAAAGGAGGCAAAAAAGTTTGATGGTTCGCTTGAATTTTCAGGTATTTACTGTCTGGATTACTTTGACAATTTATTTAACTCTTCGCTTCATTTTTGCGGGGCTTGAGGCTCAGCTCCTGTACTTCCCCGGGCGGCATGGCCTCCGCAACACGCCAGTAGCCCCAGCCCCCGCCTCCACGTGGTCAACACACTTTCTCCCCGAGTACTGTCACCTTTCGTCTTCAGGGAAGTCTTGGGGCTCTACAAGTATGCCTTAAACATCTAGTGAGTGTTTTAACGTCATTTCGGACTAAAAAGTGAAAAAATTTGCGTAGCCAACACATGCTGTACCCAAGAAAATTATTCCGGCACACCCAGGTCGCCTAAAACTCCTCAGCCGTCAACCAAATTAATTACTGAAGATAAACAAAATTTGCATCTTTGACCTTTTTATGTTGTTATTATTTGCAAAGCGGCGTTTGTTGGTGGGCGTGTACGCTATTAGGATTTTTTGGGAAATAATTTAATGTTTATCTGCCTACTTAATTTGTTTTTGCATGCAAAATTCATTTGGACAGGCCTGACACACAACTCATGAAAAAAAACAGGCGCGTTAGCGTGCAAGTTAATGAAATGTTGGAGTCGAAAAAATGACTGTGGTCTTTACGGCTTGACTATTGGGCGAGTGAAAAAAAAAGACTTTGAGTTTGTAAATGCACCCGGCATTCTTCGGTGCCTCTTCCCATTTTCTAGTTGCAAATTAGTCAAAATTGTTATGCTATAGTACAAACGGCGATTTACCATTTAGATTTTGCGTTCCAACAGCATATGATTCGTTGGATTTGCCACTTCACAGGGGTGTGGGAAATGCTACTGAAGTGGACAATTTAGTAGCACTTGAAAATTGACTCTTGTGAGAAATTTGAAGATGTGAATAGACAATGTCAGTTCCGAAAACATCGCTGGGATTGTGTTTATTTGAATCATCGTCAGCGCTTTCAATCTCGTTATCACCAAATTCAAGCAAAGTGACAAATTGTCGAAAAACAGGCAGACAACTCATACTTTGTCATGAATGGCGCTATTATGGTACAAAAAAACAACCGGAAAAACCCAAAAAAGAACTTATTAGGAACAAAATTAAAGGTCTAGTTGAAAAAGTTATGATTATAACGGATATCAGAAAGCAGAGTAAAGGCTTATTCGGCTATATTTTGAGAGTTATGCCATCGTTAACGTCCAGTGCGCTGGCTTGGAAAAAAACCACCGCTTTTATTCAGGTCTATGTTGGTGGAAAAAGGTTGGCGCTTCATTTCAGGCTTAAAAAAAGCCACTATTCGTACAAAAAAATTTTGAACTGGGGGTGGACGACGCGTGCTTGCCCGTGGGTGTGTGCGTTAGCACATGGGGACATCTCCAAGTCGAAGAGACACGCGCACGCCCTCGAGAGAAATCGTCCAACCAGTGGCACAAACTAACGGATGGACGGACGGACAGAGGGGAAGCTAAACAGTCAATTTTGCTGACGCACGCACTCACGCACGTACGCACGCGCACGTTTCCATAATCGAAAGCAAGGGGCAGATAGAGGTAGAGAATGGCAAAAAGGTCGCATTGAGTTGTATTTTTACGCATCCGTTATGTCCGGCTCCCCTGTGTGTGTGCATTTACCATGGGTGGGCAAAAGAGAGCGAGGACGAGACATGGGGATGTGATTGGACAAGAAGACCGCCTAGGCTACGACTCACCGTGCATAAGATGGAATCATGGCCATTTACGTTCTTTAGTTCACGTTAGAAAGAAGTAAACAGTACTCTTTGCTCTTTGCACAGTGAACTGAAGTAAGATTTTGGCTCAGTATTCCGTTATTTAAGGTTCCGAATAAATCCAGCTGCCATGTTTGTGTGCACTTTTTGACATCCAACATGGGTGTGGTCTTTTAACTGTGATAGAAATTGGTAAGGTCAGAAGTGTGAGAACCAGTTTATGTATTTTGAAATCTAAAAAATACCTTTTATGAGAAATGTGTTGCGTGGAATACTCGAACACTAAGCTATTTAACTCGAATATACGTAGCACAATCACCACTTTTTACGCCATTGTAAGTCGCATCTCCTAAAAGTATCCTGTCAAAGTACTGATTCGGGATTCTATGGGAAAATCTAACACAATGACTGCTAAATAACGCAAAAATAGATTTTTCAAAATCTAGCACAGACATCATTTCGAATTAAGACATTGTAGTCATTCGATTTGCCAAAATGGAAAGTAGTTCCAGCATGAATAGAACTCCAGCAATATATGCTGATTTTATAAAAGTCGGCTTTTTTGGAATCATTAAATACCCGCCCAAATAGCCTAAGCTACTGGAGACCTTGAAGCGAGCTTGAAACAAATGATGATATTATTTTTACTCGTTTTGTGTGCGTGAAAAATAATCCCTTGTTTGCTTTGACGAAAAAATCCAGCATAGGTCTAATTTATTCAACAGTAAACTCCTTGGCACAATGATAAGACCGTTTTGTTGTTGAGGCAAAGTAACTGGACAAAGGCAAACAGGAGGTCGTTTTTTCGCGTTACAAAAGTTAGCACACACGCGCTTGTTTGGCAGGATGGTAATTAAAACGGTTAAAGATGAATTTTATCTTTTCTCTTCAAGGTAAATGAAAGATCAACTATCTGTCTAAGCATGTTTAGGAGTAGTCGTTTTGCGAATTTAAAGCTGCAGCAGAGCAGTGTAACGCATTTACTAAGAGACTGCCAATCTCGGCGTCAACGGGGCGTTTTGCATATTCTTTCTCTTAATGTTTGGCCATTACAAAATAAATATTCGTTCAGATCGTTGGTAAAGCGAGCAATATTCGTTACTGTCATGCGTTTTATTGCGCATTAACTACGGGGCAATAAATAGTGGTAAAATACAATGAACCCGGCTCCTGGTCGTGCCTACGATGCCATGAGTACCAGCAAAGATCTTCCTGCAGCCATTATCTCCTCTCGCTCAACAGCACTTAGAGAGAAACAAAAGCGAATGGGGAGGGCTTTTGCGCAGAAAAAAATTAAAAAACCCGACATTTTGAGGGGAGCTGGTGGAAAGTGGAAGCAAAACAAGAACACAAAGTAAAGTAGAAGACATAAATGCGGTAAATATGCTCTCTTTCGTTTTCTTTGACATTTACTTAGCTAATCTCTTAACACGGTAAAAAGAAGCAATTTTGTCGCGGTTGCAGCCTATCTACCTTTGCGGCTTCGAAGACAAAATGAATAACTAGAGTCCAGGGTACGACGGCCAATTGAGCCCTACTTTTTAACTAAATGCACCTTGTTTCATACCGTTTTTATTGTTTTTATCGACTAGGTAGAAGTATAAAAGCAAAATCAGGCTAAAAAAACATTTTGCTGTTATTGTAAAAATAAGTACACCAATAATACTTAAGTGCGCGCAAAAAGACGCTTTGTGTATCAGCATAAACAATTCCTATTTTTTCAAACCAGTTTTGGCCTTTCTTGCATTTTTCATTCACTGAATGCAAATAACGGTGCTAAGCAGCGTTTATCACTTCCTCGCCCCAAAGTAATTTTTTATATTCATCACTAATTGAGCAGTATACTTGTCGAATAAAAAAAACCTCCATCTGAGCTGCGCTTTTAAATGGTTGGGTGAACACCTACTGAAACGTGCAAAAGTAGTGTAGTTTGACCATCAAACGCAGTCATTGTAAAACACCGGTGTGACGGACCACTTTTTCGTTGCACTTACTCGTTTTATCGTGCAGGTAGCATGGCATTCTGTCCATGATATCTGCTACCAAACCATCAGTGCCTCCACGCATTCTGAGGCTGCACCTGAGCTCACAATTCACGCAACATTGCCAGGTAGGACTGGAGTGTCCAAAATAATTTAGCCTCAGAATAATCAACAAATGATGTCATTCTAGTAACCATTGGTCACTATGTATTTGTAGGTTGCCAGTCTTGACTAAGAACAAGGAAATCGTAAGCGACTTAAATCGGTGAAAGAAAAAATAGCAGTTCCATCATGATAAACACACTATGAGCATAATTTTTGTGTAGGTAAGAATTTTCTTTAAATATTCGGAATGAAACGAAATTTAATTTAGCTGGTTTCTTTCAGATCAGGTAGAAGTCGAAAGCTGTCGGAGAGAAACAACCATTAAGTGGTACTTTTGACTGGTTCTCACCACCTTACCCACAACACTTAACACAGAGAGCTTATTTTGCTTGCTGCAAGCATTTGTCCTAGGCATCAGTATAAAAACAGTAACATCAAACAAAAATTAAGCAACACAAAGAAAAGGCAATTTTCCAAAATATTTCTCACTAGATGGGAAAATGCAAGGGGAGCGGCTCTTGATAATTAAACAGTAACACTTATTCAGCAAGTGTCTAATATCGCAAACAATTTTAATGCAATTTTGGTTCTTCTGGGAGGATTTTACGTTAAATTACTACGTCTAATTCATGAGTACTTCCACTAAAAGCAGGTTTTGTCGCTACCCTTCATTGTTTAGTAAATATTCCATTACAAGGAAGAAAGAAGTTAAAAAGATCGATGTATTCTGTTTTGAACCTCTCAAAAACCTTACTGGGGACACACGCACTCCCTTCTCCATTAGAACAGATTCCTTAGTTTAAACACTCAAATTAGCATAAGCTTATGACCTACAAGCCGCCAAGCGAGGATCTGCTGTTGAATACATGAGATTGGTGTTTTTGCGTGGAATCATCGACAAGTGTGCAGGAAATGGTCCGCTTTAGCGAGACACACTCTTGGAACGCATGACTTAGCGCGTTTTCCAGCAATAAGAGCAAAAATTTGATCCAAATGACGGAAATCGCTTTAAAATACAGGTTGTAAGATATAGTTTTATAGAAATTTTTACCCTAACACTCCAGTACCTAACTCTCAGGGCGCTAAACGAGGATCTTTTGCCACCTCAATCAAACACCGTAGGAATCAAGAGAATGGGCAACTTACTTGAATTCATTTTATTCAAATCGAGCGCCCGTACTCAGTTCCATAGAGCACTTTTCTGCCGCACGTAGCAGACGGCCTATTTCAAATGCATGCCGGGTGGATGCTTTACTAGTCAATCCCTAACAGTAGTCAACCCACACCCAATCGTTTTATGCTGCTAAGATACAACTACTTATTACTTAAATTTTACTCTGAAGAAGAGATAAACTCTTGGAGATCCCGCATCTATGCGTTAAGTCATTCTAGATGCTACCCACAGCTCTACAGCTATCAAGAGCGACCTATTCCATTGTTGAGCGCACATGTGGAGCAACCACACTGTTCATTTGGGTTTATTCCATAACAGTTAATAATTTGCCTCTGGTATACTAATTTTATTTGGAGGTGTCTCGAATGTTCCCTTAGTTCTTCTCACTTAAAGGGGCTCCATGAAAGCAATTCTCGGATTGCCTAGAGCCAACCTGATTCTATGGAAGTTTTAGACCCCAGGGTTGTATTAAACGATCCATACCCTTATGTGTGGTAAATTTGAGACAAGCAATGCGGAATCAGCTATTTAATCACCACGACCCGACACCCCCCCCCCCTTACTAGGAAAATCCTGCCACCTTGCACCCGCTCCATTCGACTCTGCTGACATCATGTAGAAAACTCCTCATTTCCAAACCTTTCTACCCATCTACCTGTCCGCCCATTATGTGGGGATGCAAAGGTGTGAACACTAATTTTTTCCATTCTCTCTCCCCCTTTTTCCTGACCTTTCTACATCCAACGCACGCTCTTTCGTGCATGTATTTGCATGTTTCGACGTTTTCTAGCCTTTTAAGCATTCGCTTCACTACTCTGCAAACTAGTAACAGGTGTGTGAGCAGTTGTTTTTGACCCCACTTCGTTTTAAAACGCAAGCGCACACTCCTTCTTTCCTTGTCAAAGTGTTCTTCGTGCTTCTGCTTTGCTCCCAGCGACTTTTCTTACAATGCCTTCACACAGGACAGAAGAAATCAGTGAACGGGTGATTAAGAGGAAGAGATAGAGACAGAGACAGTAATGCCGACGGTGATAAAGTGGTCAATACACAGGGCTCACACACAAACCTATGTCGATGCGACGCGACACTGTGAGTGTAGCTAGGCAATTGTGTTGCATAATAATTATTTCGAAAAAAAGAACTTTCAAAAGCTACAAATCGGCAAGTTATTCTCGTATCTTGGCGAAACGGGAACAATAAAGAGAAGTAGTCTCCCACCGAATGGCATGCTGGAATATGTTTCTACATTACTACTCTATGGAGACTGGCTACGTTGAAGACTATTTTGTTCCTAAAGGCACCATTTAATTTGATATCCATGGTACTGTAATGATTTGGTTACGTTGGGGAAGTTCGGGTCCATTTGACTCTTCATTTTTCTCAGTATCAATTTCACAGTCAATAACCTACTACAGCTGTGTTCTAGATGAATCCCCTAGTAAAATCTTGCACTAAACGCTTTTGGAGTCGGTTTAACCATGATTTTCCAACGCAAACCGTCACCGTTCGTTAATCTAGAGCGTCCCTTCAATCATCATTTAGAAAAGTGCCCTCGCTCTCTGTGCTTCGGGAGAGTGTGAATACACTGAAATGTGAGACTTTGACCGTCATGGAAGAACCCAGTCCGATATATATAATTTGGGTATATACGCAGAGGTGGTATGTGGGTTGATGGGAAAAGTCATACACAATCGCCGTCACAATTCCTTTTGAGGCGAAAAAGAGGCACGAATAACTAACCAGAATGTATTTCAATGCAATTAAGAAGAAAAATTGCTTGCATTTCTTCGTAGCGAATTAGGAAAGATTTAAAGCCATGGTATTTGCTCTTATCCACCACCAATGCTTTTCCATTCTTTGAAACAAAACTTAGCAGAATTTGACCGGATTCCTCTAAGAGTTACAAATTCTTTCCTTCCATAGGAACGCTAGTCCCAAATTGTTCATTATTAAAAAAGGGTTTTAGCAGAAATAATTTTACAAAAAAAGAAGAGGACTAGCAGTCAGTCGTGCCTGAACACGTAATACGACCTTTCAGTCTGGCAGGCTAACCGTAAGTGCAGTCTAACATAAGAGATGTCACCAGACGTGAAGGTGGATGCCAAATCCACACAAAATTTGCCTCAAAGAAATCATTCAAAACGCATCCGCGTCTGAGTGCTCACTACTAGAGCAAAGTGGCCTCTATGAATAAATTGCGAAGTTTGACAATGTTCATACCACTGTGGTGGATAGAATACTCCAGGAGTTAATTCGGAAGCTTTGAAACGAATCGACAATGGGAGAAAAAACGGTCGAAGAGATTACAGAAAAGCTGAATGTGAGTGGTCTGATAAACGATAATCGTAAGATTAGCAAACATACTCATCAAAGAAACTGGCAAAGGGACGAAAACGTAGGGGACTAAATGCCCACTCCCAAAACCCGGCCCGTCATCATGATGAAAAGTAAAAATAAAGAAAAGATTATGCACGTAGCCTTGAGACGTAAAGGTCTGAAGAGTGGCAAGTGTCTAAATATGATCTTCTGATATTTCGAACAATCAGGAAACAAACGAGATGCTGGGGACTACGAGAAATCAAGAAAAGCACTCAATTCTCACGAGGTTGAAGAGACCGATTATCAACATAAAAATGAAATTATTCTCAGACAAAGAACATCCTGCGCCTAGGTCATCGTTTTCTACTCAATCACCGCAACCAGGCATTACAAACGGGCAACGAACACAAGTCCCATCGGGAGGGGAAGTCGAACGTCACATTTAGGTGATGCAGGCAAAGAACTCGTGAGTACTGTAAAGAGGAATCGTTGATCCCTCCTAAAGGACACCCTTGAAAACGACTCTGATGTAGGACAGTGGAAGAGCTTACACGGTTCCGATCTTTCATTCCACTTAGCCATTCCTAAAACTGATGAAGAATCAAATGCCTGTTTAACTACCCAAACCAATTTTGTTGCCATTATGGCAATTTTTGATCAAATCACAAATGTGAACATGCATCTTCTCCTCTCTAGCGATACTCGCGATTATATTTACGAAGGGTGCTACAGGAGGAATGGGAAACGGTTGTCTTGACAAAAAAGGAGAGAGGTCTAGCCACTGTGTCAATAACATTTTTTTATCGGGGGAATAAATACCATCCTACAAGATCTTCGAAATGATGAATAGGAGTGTGAGCTGGAGGTGGGGGGAACAAAAGGCGGCGAGACGTCCCGTGGTGCGCTGTGGAATTCGCCATCAAAACAGTCGAGTGGATAAGTAGAAGGAAAACGCCAAAAATGTCAGACACCCAAATGACGCAGTTGAAGTGCTACCTTCGGCTTTTTTTATTCGGTGCGTTTACAAAGCCGTTTTTTAGTTTATGCAAAAAGTGATTAATTGCTCCACTTTTGCACTAATCACATCCGTTACCGTGATATTTGGACTTAATTTTCCAGTTCTTAAAATCCCAACTCCCCCAATAGATTTCTATTTGAATTTTTTTTTCTCCTGAAAGGTGGTGCTGTTAGAATGACTTTATTTCCTACTTTTAGCATCTTAAGACCTAGTTCGAAGCAAGAAATGATCATCTAGTTAGAGTACTTAGTAAATCAAATAAAAAGTAGAATCAGGCAGCCGTTTAGCCTGAAATGACCTACTGCTCTAGTTGTACTCCGTTGACAGGCATCACAGTTCTTGGAGAATTGACAAATTCAAAGAATTAAGAGTGCTGGCCATCAGAATCCCCTTAAAAGAATTTGAAACTTATTAATCAACAACTGTCAGTGGTGGAAGGTCAACAACGTTTCGGGGTTTGTTCAGTTGTGGCAGATAATCAACAAACGTAGTTTAAACTTCGATGCTACCTCCAGCCCAGCTTCCCACTCTGTGTCAAATAAAACAGACGGGTTAAGAATTTGAAAACTACCACTTCTAGTTCCATTACCTCACAAAGCCAAACACTTTAACAACACCTTAAAAGACAAAAGTGAGTACCTAAAAGATTGTACCGGGTCGCAAGTTCCACATTTATAATTTTTATTGGAGACGGAAGGAAACCAAGTGTTGGGGGTGGCTCCATTCCATACTAGACATCGCAGCTATCCAGTCGGTGAAACTTATTTAAAGCAAATAATGCAATTTCAGCCGTACTTATACATTTAAGACCGTCAGAGGTCGGGACAGAAAAAATGCCTAAATTTAGCTAAGAACGCGTCCTCTTTTATAGAAACCTGTAATGTTACCCTTTACCTCACCCTAAGTTTTATCACTGGATCACCTTTTGGAAAGTAAACTGGCTTATCAAAACCAGGTCGACTTTGGGAAACACCTAAGTAGATTGAGCTATTGCCGCCTATAATGCAACAAATATAAGCCGCACTGTCAGTGAAAAGAATACGAACCGAAACGAGGTGATTTCAAAGCGATCTACTCGACCATAAATCATCTTTGAGAAAAAGCGCTACCGAAATTCTCCACCGCATTTCAAAATACCTTAAAATATATTGTCAATTTTTGAAAAGGCATGTTAAAATTGTAGTGCATTTTAGCTGCTGATGGTGTCATTGTTGTTTCCAGGCGTCATGAAGCCCAAGAGGTCGGTGATTTATGATTTGCGTAGTCAACCTCCTTGTGGTTTTCTGTCCCACTTATACTTTCTTGGCAAGTGAACCGGAGCACGGTGGCGGAACAAGACGATCACAGGAGTCAGCGCCTAATTCAAAGGCTAAATGCGTGCACACGTGTGACAATGCGTCGAATCATGAGACCTACTTATGCACAATTTGGAAAAAGAAACGTATGCATTTCCCGCCTCCTAAGACGGCTCCTTTTAGGTGGACAATTGAGTAAATTATGTGGGCATTTCGACAATGAAGACTGACGAAACGCTTCTGCGATAAAAATTACACTCCTTTATTAAGAAGCAACTTGCTATCAGCGTTAACACACACGTGACGTCGTTTCCTTATCACCTCATGAAAAGTTTCGCCAAACTATGCCGTAACCGGAGTGGTTAGATTTGGAGCAAATCAGACCAGGACATTCACATTCTGGAGATGACAATATCTTTACTGAGCAGCGGTTAGCTTGCTCAAAGAACTAAGGACAACTAGTGTTGAACCACAGTAATAAAACGTCTGGGTAGTTGTGGACACTACTCCCCTGAGAAGCGTTAATGGTTGTTGAAATGACTGGGTTCAATGATTTTGCAGAAGTGTAGTCTCGACTAAATTGGAACGTTTTATACTTGCCCTGCTATTAGAGACCCGAAATTAGAAAAGCGAAGGTGAGGAACTTGACGGTAAGGGGAATATTTCAACTGGAACATCTGTTTTTTTTTGAATCTGGAACAATGTGTAATTCAATTTGCAAAAAAGTGGGAAAATTTATTACCAATTCAAAAGGTAACCATTTATTTTGTAAACGACGGTAAATTACTCAAGACCTTGGACTACTATTGTGAAAAAAAGCTCCTTTTCACAATTAAGCGAATAGAATTTTCACGTCGATTAGTGAAAAGTAGATTTGACAAAATGGAACTCGATCTAATATCTGTTCAAATTATTTTCACCAACAGACTAATTACTGAAATTATGACCACAACAGTTCCGCAAATAGAATAGAAGCACTTTTAACCTATCAAGGGAACTCTGATGATAGCATAAAATTTGATCTCCTTTCTTGAAAAGTGCAAAAAAAGGATCGCAAAACAAAAGACACCAGCACTTTTCCAGTATTGGTTTGCGGTGCCGTCGAGCTAATTGCCTCCTGATGGAAATCAGTTTCACTAGCCCAGACGACATTAAATATTCCTATTACTAGAAGGTAATTATATGTTCAAATACCTAAAACAGATAATTCCAACAGGTGTAATCGCTGGAATATCTGCACCACGATAAAAGGCATCACAACTATGAGAGGAGAATATAGTGGTGGTAACCATAATAAGTTGGCATGAAAAAGCCTGCCCCTGACATCGTCATGCATCACCCATTGTCAGAACCACAAGTTTCTCAAGTCAACTTGGGGAAGGGTGAAGTATGAATCAGATTAACTTCGCTGATAAGGTTAATCTAGCAAGGGGTGAAAAAAAAAACAAATCGACTTTTTCGTCTGGGCCTCCAGCACATTAGCCTGACAGGATATTAATTTAAGTGGAGGAAAAAGGGCTTAACGAATGCTGGGTTATGTCGACAGCAAATTCGATTACAAAATGCTGTTTCAGAAGCCATTCAACCACTCAGCCTATCAAACGCCGCTTTGGGTAAACACCGCTTTCTAGAGGAAGCAAAACCTACAGACTCTCAGCCAGTGGTAAAGTCGTCTTATGGAACCAAAAATGGGAAATATGCATCACTGAGTTGAAAGTGTTAATAATGAGGAGCCATTTACAGCACAGTTATCCATGGCTCACTATTAGCCAACTAAGTCCCTCATATGATTCACAACGACTCTCATGTCCAAAATAATACGAAACCTATAAAGCCATAACATTGACTTAAGGCAAAAACTGAGGGAAAAGCGTATTTAAAGTATTTGTGGTCGATGGGTAGTTGATTTATGTGTATATTTGACCAAGTGGGCCTTTCCGCACTTCCACGAGTTGACTCCCAAAATAGCAACATGAAGAATCCTTCATGCCACCTCTATTGCTTGTCTTCTGGCCATCCTGTACGTCACGAATAAATTCGCCACCACGCTTGCTTGTTTTGTACCGCCTCCAAGGCCAACTCAAGAGCCACACTGGTGGAACTGTTGGCGAGTTGCCGACTGAACAATGCACAACAAAATTGGAAAAGAAAGGCAACCGCCATTAATAAAAGAATTTGTAGCAGCTCACAACAAAAGAAACGGCAGAACTGTGTCGATACTTGCCAGCCAACTCAATTTCAAGTTCTGCATAATGGCTAGCAATAGAGACTAGGATCTAACCGAACGAATTATGGTTATGACCTGAGAAGAAGCTATTCTTCTGTTGCTTCAAGATAAATTTCCATAAAAAACCAAACGATACGAAATAAGCTTGCTGTAGGGCACCGTCCGGCCTTTGGCACTACTTTAAATAAGGGAGATCTACTCAGTTATCCCATCTAAAACCACGGCCTGTAATATTGAGATAAAAAAACCTTCTTACCAAATCTATCGTCCCAATCTTATTCGTCTCGAAATTGATTAAGGTCTGCTGAAAGACCTACAACAGCAGACACAGAAACATGACCCAAGGAGCACCGAGGATGACACTCAACACAGGGAGGCCGTGAAGTGGGATGGTATTCCTTTTAACCACGTATTTAAATACGTGGATCCTTTCGATCTTCCACGGACCGACCCCTCTTGCCTGTGACATGGACCTGCCCACGCCATCTACGCAGCCAATCTCCCAGCTACATCCAGGCTATTGTCCCTAATAATGCCTTCGGGGAAAGTCAGTGGTTTAGTGCAGTGATACACACTCATTATATCAACAGGAATCAAGGAAAAATCAGCGAAAACTTTCACCTTTATCCACTGCAAAACCTAGCATAGTGGGGACTCCAAACTTCTCAAGGTATACAGGATTTTTGCATCCTAGAATCTAACTACAGTTTTCCCAATGCACTTTATTGTTCTTAGAAGCACCACAAACTTACATTTTCGATTGAGTAGGAAGTGGGATTAAGCGCACTTCTGCAACGATTAGATTTAGTATGGCAGATTATAAAATTACGCGAACATGATTTCAAGCGCAGTTCATATCGGTCATCATTTGATTAATTAAGATAGTGAAAAGAAGAAAAAAATAGGGAAGAGAAGGAAACGAACCATGCCGAGAACATGAAGTTCGATGGGGGGAGAGGGAGCGGAAAAAAGAAGACTACTGACGGAGTGAGTGAATAAATGTATTGAAGCAAAAAAGTGCTTTCGGGTGCATGCACGTGCGCACCGAGTTCTGCTGTTAAAAAGATGCAACCCAAATCATTCCGGAGAAATCGCATTAATCTTGATGCGAAAATAATCACAAGAGCGGACGGGGGCAAAGAAGTGCAGACCAAAACTCAGACCCGTGTATCGTTCTACTTCACTGCTGCTGCAACTTAACCGTGTGAGAAATGGGAAAACAGGTGAACAAGAATATGGAAGCGACTCCATGTGCTTGTTCGGCATCACTACTTTTAATGAGGCAAATCCTTATGCTATGCAGAGAAGATATATCCTACGATGGCTTTCTTACACGTCGGAAAGTGGGTTCATGATAAGTGAACAAAAGGTCCATAAAGCCAACAGTATAAGTGACACTAACGAGCTCCATGTTACCAGAATATAGGCCAAATTAAGAGAGATTGAAAAGCCGTACAATTAAATACGTACATCACTTAATTGCACTTACAAGTATTCCCAAAAATTCATCGAAAACCGCAAAATTATTTATATTGGGGAAATTATGGAATGGTTTCCAACATTTTAACGCATCAGGTGGACACTAGGGGTCCATTTATCATAAAAACGTACTACAGTCTTCCGGCAATTCGAAATGGACGTCAGTTCAAACACATTCCAAAACACTGTTGAACCTCACCGTCGTTTGGTCAGGAAGATTAAAACTGGTACTTACATTGCATAAGTAACCTTGAACACAGAGTAACAAAAAGGACAAGCAACAGTACACAGGAACACTGGTGCGAAAATAATTTTTATGAGAATAGAACGCAATTTTATCTCAACCATCTTCCTCATCATCAGTTAAAACAGCGTCCTGCATCACTACCCAGCCAACTTTACTCCTGCTTTTCGGTGATCTTGACGAAGCCGTCTGCCATCGTCTTGATGTCGACCTATTTGACCCTACACGGGGGACGGGTGAAAACACATACCCGTTACCATCCCAGTAGGCCTCCGTGTATCCAGTTGCATATTCATCATCCTCCTCCGCAAGATAGACATAACCCCCGTAGTTGGATGTCGAGGGGGTGCCATGAAAGCCGCTTCCCGGTGGATGCCACACAGGTTTCCTACTTTGCTTATTATAAGGCGATGAGGATGCGCATGGGGCGGGCAAAAATTGGCAGTTTTCCCATGAAGGATCCCGTGGTGGTCTCCTTCTTTTGCCTTTCGGATGCGTAGTAGAGGTATAGGAGACCATAGCCAGAGCTGCACCAGCAAACACAGCACGCATCACCAGTGGTGACACTGCTAACAGCAAAGAAGGATTAATGTTGAACCACACCTTAGCATATTGTGCTGTTAGATGGATAATATCTGTAAGTATCGGCAACTGTGAGGGCAGATGAGGTGCAGAGGCTATGAGGAGAACAGCAGCGGTGCGAATAAGCACTTGGAGGAGGGTTCGGGTTCGTGGAAAGTTCCGGATAAGTTGTTCTGGTAGACCAAACCAGTAGAGTATGGCACAAGAGATCAAAGCCGTTCCCAGGACATAACAGAGTACCCAGCCGACGTTGTTCAATACAAAGCCCCACAGGAGTGAGCGAAGATAGTCTAAGTAGATGAAGAAAAAGCTGAACGCTCCTCCGCCAATGAGCAAGGCACCCTGAAACAGGAGGGTCGCGCGTTTCGGAAGCAGTCGCATGGCAACGAGGAGGATAATCAGAACACTTCCGATGACTGATAAGCTCATGCCGGTGAAATAATAAAAGGCCAGATTGCTGGAGAGAACGGGTGCAATGAAGTAGAGAGCAAAGCCGCAAAGAAGTCGAGAGATTCGGAACCAATCAGTACGCGCCTCAAATTCAACATCAATACCAATTTGGCGGCCGTAATACGTTTTTCCAGGTTGAGAAATAAATGCAACACAGTGTGAGTCGAAACCGAAAAGTTCAATAGAGGCATCTTCACGAAGCTCAAAGTAACCGGGACTGGGGGCGGGAGAGAATGAGAAGAAGGACGACAAAAGAGAGGGAGAAGGAAAATCATGGAGCCAAGGAGAACGGGATCGGAGGTCCAATTCGTTTATAGCAGTAAAGGCGTAAAACGGATAGACTTCCGGTGAAGTGGCATCTACTTTGATGGTGTGACGCTGGAAGGCGCTGAAAACCCACTCGAACCAAGGTGGTCCTCGCAAACACACGACACTGGGACCGAGGCCCGTGAGGATAAGACGTTCGCGTGAACCATACGACAGGTAAGTGGGGGAGAAATCGTCACAGTTCACAAAGGGTAGGACAATGGAGGTAAGGATAAGAATTCCAACATCCTTAAAAGAAAAAAAAACACCAAGTCGGGAACATCACCGATCTTCCAACCCGAAAAAAAGGAAACGAACAAAAATATTAGCAGCTAAATTACTTTAGTTACTTGGAAGTGGCTTAATGTATTGAACGGCACTGCATCACTACACTAGTTTTAGGATGACACTGATACACCCAGGACAGGATTGCGAAGCTAAAACCAGACAGAGAAGCAGGCTACAATGGGATCAGCGAGTGAAACAGCAGTTCATTCAATGTATACTGTAATTGTATGTAAAATGTTTGATTCGCTTAACTACATACTAAGGCTACCTAGATAGCATGAAAACAACATACCAGACGCATCTGAAAATTCAAATAGTTAAAGACATACCATTTGCAAAAGCCGCTTTGTACGCAACCAATAACGTTCATGTGACAGACCTTCTATTAGTTGGAATAGGAAAAGTGCATTTGAAGTAACGAGGATGGCAAATTTTAAAGTGCAGTTTAAGTACGAATAAAAATAAAGTTGCTGGTGTGTTTGGCATGTTTGACGAGAAACTTATGTAGCACTCGATGTGTACTAAGTAATTATGCAAAAGCGCATGCAGTTAATTGGCAAAACTTACCTTTTCAACCGATAGTGAATTGATGTCATAATTTGGGCGCTTCAGCCTTAAGCAGATATCATACAAGGCCAAAGTAGTATGAAAGAAAATAAATTGGCAAGGTACAGAAAGGCTGCATGGCCTTAGGCATTGCCCAGAGACAGTCGCTGAACAGAAATCCAAACCACAGGAGTGTAAACACTTGCTCTGCCAAATAGGGTTAAATACCAGATCATTACATACCCCATCTTCTTTCTAGCGGTTTCACCGAATTTTTTAATAGCTATTCCCTCTACTCTTAGGAGTGTTGAATATTCGGATTCAATTTGGGTGCCCTATTTTTAGAAGAAATAATTTGTCCTTTCTTGTGACCCATTGCTCCTTATGTACTATAAGAAACTACTTATTTGGGCTCTCACTCCAACATTTTATTTTCTTGTGTACCCGTCTGTTATATCCTAGCAATAAAAAATAATAAGCTCAATAAAAGCAAAAAAGTAAGTTTAGTCTGTTGAAATATTGCAAATGATGCGCCCGTTGAAGGGGCCAATTAACGTTTTACAATTCCGCGTGGATAATAGCTACCTAGATGGCCGGGACGGGAGAGACTGTTGTTTTCCGTCGCAATATCAGGCGGGATAGGTCATCAAGTTCAGACGTTAACTCAGCTTTACAAGATGATAAGCAAAAAGGTGATGACTCTAAACAAACACGATTCGCCCTTATGGAGGAAGTTCTACTTCTTGGCCTTAAAGACCGTGAAGGATACACGTCGTTTTGGAGTGATAACATTAGTCTTGGTCTCCGGGGCTGTTTTCTTATTGAGCTGGCTCTGCGAGGTCGTATTACTCTTGAGCCTCCGTCCACACGTCGATTGATTTTGAACAGAAATGTTATTGTAATCAAAAATGTTCCCACGGGTGACATGCTTTTGGATGAAGCACTGCGAACAATAAGCAGTAACAGCCCCGCCGATGTAAAGTCCTGGATTGACTATCTAAGTGGTACGTTCTTCTCCCACCTTATGATGTGATTGTTAGGTGACACCTGGAATCCCTTTAAAATCGCCCTGCAAATGCGAAATGTGAGAGAACGGATAGCAAAAAATCTCGTTGAAAAGGGGGTCTGCTCGACCGAGAAACAGAATTTTATCTTGTTCGACATGACAACTCATCCTCTTATCAATACGCCCGCCAAGCAACTGGTAATACAACGAATAATTGACGCCCTTCTGTCTAATTGGACCACCGATATCCAACGAATGGACAAAAGAATGCTCTCACTAATTGTTGTGTCTCAACGTGCGGATGTTCTAGAAAATGCGTTTTTAACGCTTTCAAACCAGGACTACAACACAGCTACGAAACATGTGAGGACACTGATGGATCTCAATTACAACGAGTACGGTTCCACGGGCACTCCAGCGGATGTTATTTGGGCTGTGTTCGCCGCTTTGAGCTCTTGACCCTCTTCCCTTTCTTGAATGCCCAAACAATTGCCGGAAGTGATAATTTCGTTACAGATAAACCGTAGACTACTTTTCCCTCGTTCTTTGCCTCCTTGTCCGCCCTATTACACCTTTGTACACTTCAGGAAAAGACCCTTCCATTCCATCTTTTCATTCCTTCCCACCCGACTGAATGCGCATTCACCTTGTGACTTTTCTTTTTCTCATTTTGAGGTGGTCATTTATTTTATGTACAAATTTGTTTATTTAGATTTACGTAATTACAAAGTGGTTGCTTCACTTGCACGATTGCTCCGTTTCCTTTTTGTCTCTTGCTACAGGTAAGTCTTTATTGGTAACAAGTAGGAATTTTTTTGCTACTATCGCAATTTCTTTCATCAAATTGCAAGAAATAATGTATACGGGCGTTTTTGTTATTCGGTTCGGAGTTTTTTCTTCTGTTTAATTATGTAGGATTTTTACAGCTAGAATTCCTTCCACTTTCTAGGAAATAGGCAAAAACTTTGCTGGTGTTTTGGTCTTTATTTATTTTTTGCTGCGCAGCTAATGTGTGACTGATTTCTTTCAGCTCTAGGGACTCGTCAATTTCTATGTCTAAGCCCCTTCATGACATGCTTCAAAATTGGTGCCTCCTGCCCCACTTAAAATCCGAAGACAGATTCGCGTTCTGTTGACGCTGAAAATAGTGCAGATGTTCCCCCATTTAAATTATGCCCCGAAGTCGACTTTAGGTCGGTTGGCAATAGGAAGTGATATTTTTGCAACAAGTTCATTTGGTCCATCTGATTTATTACTGCTCCTAATCACTGTGTGGAGCATGGTATGTAAATCAATCTGTTAATTCGATTTTAATGTCTTTATGGGGAGAACTAGTCGTGCCGAACTTTATTATCAATAATAGTAGTAAAGTTCACTTTTCCAGTCTTTAGTTCGGTGCTTACCAGTGGGTTGCCTTTATCCGATAGCGCGTGTACTTTTAGCTTTATTGGCAATGCTCATCATTACACCATCCGAGAAGCCTCCACTCATCACTCATTTCTCCGTTTAGACTTCAGAAAGTCGAGTCGTTTCATTATTCATCTGTTACCTAGATTAGGCAAACACTAGCAGCAGGATGAATATCAGTCAGTCAAGATAGTGGAAAGAGGTGTCATTATTAGAACAAGGGGACGCTTGAATTTTTTTACTCTTTGAGAGGCCCTGGTAGCGAAAACGTTAGTTTTTAGACCTGAAAAAGTGTAATATCACAAGCCCTCTACTCTTCTACCAGAGCTCCCAACGAAATGTCACATTTTTGCTACAATTTTACTCTTAGGTCAATTGTTGGTACAAGAGTCTCTCACTTTAGGTCCCACAGAAAATAACCAGGGAATGAATAATAAGTTTAAGTGAAGAATGTCTAGCCTTCTGTGTTCTTTTGAGTGTTCAGTGTGCTTTAACGAAATCCACTTTCAAATGCATCCGTGCGTGGAACGCTGTCGACATCTCGCAGCTGCGACTTTGAGACCTTGCTTGCGTCAACGTGTTACCTGACCTTAGCTCTGCACTTATTCTTTATTAAAATACCTTTGCGCTCACCTTTATACAAATGTTAGATGTAAAGTTGAAATATTGGTTTCTTTATTATACATTGATGTTCGTACTTACACGGGGTTAGGTTTTTTGTAGCTCTTCGTTTCTAAGGTATAAGTGCTCAACATCCAGCGGTATGATTGACGTGGGCTATTCATCTTTTTCTATCATTCAGTAGAAATTAGTCTTTTAAAAAACATGAAATTTGCTTTGCACTTATTCTCTTTCGGACCTTCGAATTGAAACAAAGATAAGTGTTTTCAAACCGCGGGAGGTTATATTTGATGTACTGTTAGACCAGAACTTTCAAGTGTAACTCATTCATCCTGATTCAAGGCAGAAACCTTCCAACTGACAAAAGGAAAGAACAGATTTTTGGGCGCTTAGTCGACAGAATGACGGCTGAAAATTTCCGCGGTTGAGAGGGTCGTTAACAGGCGCACAGCCATTCCTCGCAACTTCACGCTATTCATTCATGTCTTACCACTTAGCAACTTGGTGTTCCGTCACTGTGCCACACTGTGCTGATGTCTTCTGTGAGCACAGGTAGATATTTTCTCATTGATTTACCCATACAATGCCACCATCTGTAGTCATCCTGACCAGCAGCGTCTAGTCTAGACTGGTCGACGATAGTACCAGAACCCCCCGTCTATTGCTACTCCCTGCTACCTTGTCAGTTTGGCTTGAGCGCACCTCATATGATATTTCAGCTACATCTGTGACTAAACGAACATGTCTCACATTATTTCAAAAGGAACGTGATCTTAATCTTGATGAGTTTTGTCTTCTGATGAACGTCAGATTTCTCAAGCTTGATGTCCCATGGCCGCTATCTCGCACATGAAAACGAAGAGAACATTGCCGAACGTGCTTCAACTTTGCACTATTTTCCAGCTGTGATTTACCTTAGAAGGAAAAATAAAACGTGGACAGCGAAGTTTTACAATTTCGTTGATCCTCGGGAGTGATAGCCATCGCCCAATGCTTGAAGAAAAAAAGTGTTTATTTTGCTGGAGATTAAGTGGGGTGTAATTTTATTCCTTCGCCTTACCCAAGATAATGCATTCCACATCAGCTTACATTACTGTCATGTTTACCACCTGTTTGTGTTGTGCAACGATAAAGATCTCGCTTTTGACTCAAAGATTTGATTAGTCAACACTATGCAATTGTTTTCTCCCAAGCAGCGTCTTTGCAGGAATTCATGTAGCCCTGCTGGAATGGCCCGAAGGGCATATCGCTTAGCAGAAGTACAGAGGCAGACCCTTGAGTGCTCACGAAACCGAAACGGAGGTTAAAACAAATAACCAAAGTATTGCATAGTCTCCCCCCCCCCCCTCTTGAGCGTCGTCTTCAAGGCTTTCCTTGGCCAACTTCCCGCCTCGGCCATCATAGCATCTGCAAGTAACAAACCTCATCAGGATTCCGGGGCTCGCAAGCCCCGTGTCCAGGACCGGTGAGCAGATCTGATCCAAACGAACGCAACTCCTGATTCGTTTGGCTGATATCACACGTAAAATTTGGGGAAGGAATATTCCCGCTTTAGTTAGCGAAATTTGCAGAGGCTGACAAGAGAAGTTTCTCACAGTGGTTAGTGATGACTGCGGCTATGTTTAAATCCATCCATTGGAAAAGTACCTTTCGCTATGACTACAGTCATTTACTCCATGGCTTGAAAAAAAGGGTTTTCACTTTTTCGTGTTCCCTTTAGATGGATTTTCACATGAGGAGCGTCTTGTGTACAGAACAGGCTCACTGTAGAACATCGTCCAACCCAAACTAGTTCCTTTCCGGTACAGGTTGTCATACAGACATTCAGAAGCACAACCACTTTTACAAGATTTAAACCCACTAATTGGAGGTAACATACTCCCACTGGTACGAATGGATCGTACCATCTTTGACGCCTCCAATCATCTCTGAATAACGCCACGAAGGTGATCGAGATTGCCATCCGGTCACATCTATCTGGATTTTTTCCAGCTAGTAGAGACGTGGAGGAGGTACCGCGTGTTTGCTTCACTGATACCTTCACACGGGTACCGTAGACAGCTCCATAACGAGCGTTTCAGATGGCTCACGACTAGGATTGCCTCACTTGTTAATGGTATTCCTGCGGAACATGGAACTGGGATAGTTGCCGAAGGTAAACGCTATTTCTAATCCTTCTGTTAGGGGTCATCACAGAATCTCACATTAAGGTCAAATATTCGGTAATGGAAACGAATTGATGAATTAGTTATTTACTGAGGAAGACTTAAACCAGTGGTAAAACCACATTAAAACACTTGCTGACATTCGCTCCTTTCCGAGAAAGCTACGTAATCACATTGACACTGCATGAATGATTTGTGAAATGCACATAAGGGCAAACTCATCCGATGGCAAGCTGCGGTCTCTACACTCTAGGGTGGGCACAGTTGAAAAAAAAGTTCAAGAGCCCTTCTTTGTACTCAAATTTCCTGTCCATGTATGGGCGCCCTTGTCCTGAATATCGGTTCACTGGTAGATACTCTCGCACGCCACCACATTTCTTCAGATAAACAAGTTAAAATTAGAACTTTCAATAAAATTTGTGCAATTTTTCGGTGAGACAAACACATTTGCATTTGTGGTTCATTGAGTGTGTGGGGAGTGATCCTCAAAGACGTGAGACCACTTTTTTCAGGGTTGGTAACACACCATCTACCTCTTACACAACTACGTCAAATCCACCACCAGTGCACATTTCATGCGCCAGTACGTGATAGTTTTGGTGCCTCTCGAGGAAGTATCGCAGTTCTATCTACCGGATGCAAGCCAATGTTTTGTCGATTCAATGGGGATTTTTTTATAAGCCACACAGGGTGCTGCGTCTTCAACATTGGCGATTGGAGCGGATCACACGTATGCAAGTATGCCATTACCTCTTGAGCCAAGTAAACGCACCATCAATGATTTCTCCCGCTTGTGTGGGCGTGACACCTGTCGTCAGCGCACGAAACAAAACGAAAGGTAAGATGAAAGGAAAGGACTGTTGTAGCAAGGACAGATTTCCCCATTCAAAGTCGATTAAAACAATACGAAAAGCACGCTTTAAGGCCTACGTTGAACTTTCTGAGACCTTAAGGTTACTCACCACATAGCCCAAAACACGGGCTAAAGAGTCAAACAAGAAAATCAGCACCTCGATATGTAAATACAATGTAGGATCTCTCTCATCCCTTTTAAAAGAAGTATTTCATTTTGAGGGCTATTTAGACACCGGTGAATCGCTTTCTTTCCTTCTGGAACTCCACAGTCGTCACCGGCAATTTGCCCTCACATTAATGGAGGGCGGCAAATGAAGTTCAAAATCCAAAGACTGCCACACAAAACGTGCCTTAAGTGGCAATCATAATGTGCAGAGAATTTACAAAAAGCATTTCCTTTGCCTTTGGAGTGACGAAGGTTGATCAAAGTCGGAACAGACAGGATTGTTACGTGCACATCCACCAATGAGGCGTAACCTGATAAGGAAGCGCTTAATCCCCTCGCAAACAACTTTTTAAAGAACTCAATTAATAGTAAATTTAACGCCCCTGGCTACCTCAATTCAAGTGAATGTTGGGGCAAGGGAATTAAATTGGTAGAGCAACTTTCCTTATCAGTCCTACTGATCTCACAAGTGTGAGCGCCCTATGCGCCGAAGGCAGTTTAATGTTCTACATGCTTACCTCATGGCTGGCAGCGACAGTGCCTCACACTACCCTCATAGAGCCTGAGCCAAATACACCACAAATAGTTGCTGAGACAAACAAAACTGCAATCAAGCGCTGATCTTTGAAACACTGAATCGCCCTTTCAAGTCTCCATAACAAGGTTTAGTCATGTCATGCAACAGCAATTAATCTTAGTCAAACGGTCATTAAAGCGACCATCCACAGCAATGTCGCTCAAAAGTCTTCTCCAAAATCCCCTTCTCACACGATTGCTAGCGGCGTTGGTGGCAGGGCGTAATCACGTGCTGTGTGGGTTTGTAAAGATTGACTAGCAGCCCTGGAAGATGAGGAGACTTAAGCTAGCCTGGTTTAAACGAGCCAACTGGAAAAGACAATCGAAAAAAACGCACTAGCAGCAGGGATGACAGCTGACACAAACGCAAGCACACATTTACCATGCAAAGTGGCTCACTCACACAACCATGAAACAGGTGATCCATGATGATTAACCAGGGTTTAGCAGGTTGGATACTCTCTTGCTCTGGTGCTTATGCCAGAATGACTAGCGTCAGATAGGTGGTTAGCCGGTGTTTACAATGAAAAAAAAATGGAAAGAAGGATTTTACAACCCAGCTCCATGAAGCTGCTCCCTAGTATTTTTCACATGGATTTCATTCTTGCCAGCCTTTATCACGGCTTGTAATTCTCACACGAAATGCGTTCACCATTGAACATTGTCCTCTTTTCAGTAAAACATAGCAAATGAATTCCTTTAAGGCTACCGTAGAAGTTGAAAGTCACTGGGCAAACGGAAATAGTTGCATACAAAGAGGAAAGACCCATAATCCCGTCCTCAGTGCTAGCAGTCCTCCAGCCCTTCTGTAAGCTGGTAAGAAGTCGCCTTCCAGTGGTACGTCTTGCGAATTCCTCAGGGCTTACTCAGTTGTCACATATTATACATATTGACAAATAAAAGTGGAGTTACTAGTGTCAGCGGACTTGTTGACCTTTATGACCCTGCTCTACTTTATGTGGGCAATAAAAATAGTGCATGAGCAATTGTCATGCCAACTCCGAGATGCCTGACTCCACCGCACACAAAACAGCCATGTAGGGCAGTAGCTAATGTGATCGGAGGGTCTATTTTTTTAACCCTTACTAGCTCAATTCGCCATTCAAAAAGTAGTTCCTATGTATTGTGTAAATAGGACGAGAGAGCGAAGAGACATAGACCGTGATGCTTTCAGTACAGTTCAATGAACACAACCATCCAAGAACTGGTAAGGTGCTCCACCATGCGTTCAGCAGCACCTAAAAAATCATAGACCTCGTTTTCCTGTGTAGGTGACTGTACTGGTCTTTCCAAAATCCAGTAATTAGCATTTTACGCTGGTGTACCAGATATCCACCCGGACCAACTATGCCGCCAGGTGATTGGCACACTGACAAAGGCGACTCCGGTGACAATCCAGGCGCTACATTAAGAGCAACCTCTGTGATTTCACTCTGGGATAATAATTCCACTTCCGCTGACTGAATACAAAGTCAAAAAGCACATGCTATGGATGAATGAACCCGCCAAAACCTACAGGAAAGAAGACTACTTTGAGTGCATCAACTATTTGGAAACTGACCCGAGTTCGAATTATTAACCATTAAGTGATTGAAACATAAAGTTCCCACTAGTCAAAACCACCGGCAAAAGAGAAGCTTACAAAATCGCTGTTGGAACAGTGGTTTATTACTACGTGCCAAGAAAATAATAACTCCCTGTCGCCTTCGGACAAATGTTCCCATAAAAATCGCCTGGTAAACAGAATGCATTCACCGCGGGGCAAAATTCGTCCCTAGGCAGCATCTTAGAGATTAACCTGACGTTGGCATATTTAATCTAGATGAGGAAGTGAAATCTAAGGATCCCCTCAAAATCAAAATGTAAATTACTTTCCGACTCACCCGCCGTATGCCATCTTCAAGGATGATTTGGGTACTACAGCAATAATTCGTATACTTACGAAGTAATAATAAATTTTGATGATTTATCCAAACACTTAGAAAGGCAATCAAATGAGAATCCTAGGTAAGTGAGTAATTTAGAATGCTGGTTGAAAAATAGAGGATAGAATGACACTTCTTTGGCATTTCAAAGTGTGTTGACGATCTCGATGAAAGTGGCAACGGTACCACAGACAGCAGAGAAGACACCCACGGCAAGGATCACAACGTTTTTGGTCACCACTGTGAGGTAAAAACGTGGAATTTGCTGACGCTCCGGCCAGCGGTGAAGCAGTTCCAGCATTGGTGGCACCAGCAATGCCAGTGCAGAACTCGAGACTGCGCCCAGCAATGACACCATAAGGTCCAAGTGTGGCACCAGCATCGCCACCGCGTCTGAAATAAGACGAACCCTGTGCATACACACCGATCAAGAAATGGGTACTTCTAAAATGGTGTCTACTGAGTGGACTTAATTTTGATTAGATGACATTCCATTTACTAGCAGATGAGGCACGCCAATGGTAGATTTTCATCAACCTGTTAAACTTTGGGAATTCCTAAACACTTGATGTGAGGCAGTGTAAATAACGCTCTCATTAAAGTCGTGGGTATGAGGGATGAAAAAAGCCTTGAAAGCGATACCACGAGAGACTGTGGTAATAAAACACTCTCTTGAGTGTCGCACTAGCCTAATTTCACAAAAAAGGTGGTGCGACCGGTAAGGAGCTCATTTAACAAGTAGACTAGTTGAGGATTTTCTCTCGATAGAGACCTTTATTAAATTTTTCAAACTTCATGCTTTTGTTAAGACAATGAATGGGAAAATAGCGTGGCCT